TAAATACATGCATACTGCTTTCATAATTGGAACACAAATGATTAATGAACTTGAATTCTGTTCCAGACCATGTTTATGAATTATGAAATCCTAAGATTATTAAATTCCATAATGGAAAACTCCCAAATTTCAACTTTACTGACCTAACTACATGGGCGGCCTGTGCATACAAACACTAGGCTAATTAGAAGAAAGCAGACAGAAAGATTTATCTCTAATTTTTAGAACTAGAGATCATCAGGCCAGGGCCTGATCAGAAACTGGGACTGCTGGAGTTGCAGAAGCAGGGCTAGTTGATGCAACATTCTTAAGTGCTGGATTAGTCTGGCCCCATTTCCCTTCTGATTCGAGTGGCTCAACAACATGAATGTAACCATCTGTCAGCCCAACAGCAAACTGGTTTGGTTCTTGCGGATGTGCAGCAACTACCAGGGGATAGGCAGTAGAACTGCCATAATCAAATGAAATATGAATGAGAATATAACACAAATAAAGTAAATATTTCAAACTAGTAAGAAAAATCTCAACATGAGGTATTGAGAAATGAACAAGTTCATTACATAGATTCAGATGGGAGATACGCAGAAGGGTTGATCTGGCACCGTAAATTCAGACTTGGCATACCAAAGACACGAATAATCCCATCCCGGAAGCTACAGTAGATTAACTCCCCGTCACAGGAGAATGTTGCATACGTGATGAGTGGTGAAGATTCCTCTATAATCCACTGTAAGAGTATAATGTAGAACATTCATTTTTTTTGGAGAAACATAATCAATTTCTTGGAGAACAAGAAATGTAATATATGTGTATGTAGCTACCTGCTTTACACATTGAAGTTTGATGGTATCATAAATGGAAATCTGAGTCTCATTTGAAGCCAACACATGGACTTGATCAAAGTTATATTGAAGGCGAGCGCCTGAATTCGCTGCACTTGTTGTGGCCCTCCCAGCTGGGAGTTGCAAGGGACAGCTCTTTCTCTTCTCCCATTTCTCAGTGCTCCAAAGAATAATCTGCAAAGCCACAACAATCTTATTAACCCAAATCATTCATAAAGATATACAGTAAAATATTTGACTGGGATCAATTCAAGTAAAAAAGAATTTCCCAAATTATTATTTTATATCATATTTATTTTTACCATAATGCCTGAAAATGAGATTTTAATATGCACTAACCTGAGAATCATCAGCAGCAGAGACAAGTGCATGGAGCACATAAGAGAAAGCAAGGCCAGTAACTCTTTTAGAATGACCATTAAGCTTATGCTTGACCTAGAATATAAGACAAGAAAATGCTCAATATATTAGGATATATATTCTGACTTCTGCTCAATACATTAGGCTATAATTTCTGATCTCTAGTGGGATTGAAGGATGGTTGGAAGAATTTACCATGTTTTCTCGAACATTATATATCTGAATTATTGAATCATCCATGCCAACAGCAAGTACGTTGTTATCATCAGGATGGAAAACAATACATGTTGCAGCTGGTGGGGGAGGCATGTAGGTTGTCAAAACCTGC